AATTTGGGGTAGAGATCTGAACCATGCTGGTCACAAGCTTCCTTTAGAGTTCTGTGAAAATGGACAGCATCTTCTTGGTTCAGGTATGTTGGTGTGAGGTCACATCCACCACCAAACCACCACTGCTTATTACCTACAAAATCAAGACATGGGATTCTAATATGGACTTTGAAATTCAGCATCACTGGCTATATTAGGAAATTTAATTTAGTAGCTTAATTTATTAAGCATAAAATGGGTGACAATAAAAAAACATTTTAAGTGATTTTAGCTCTGAAGACCAGTAAGGTCTAGGCAGAACAAAAGAGTTTGTAAAAGCAGCTGGGTGCAGTGGCTCATGCTTGTAATCCCAGCACTTTGGGAGGCCAAGGCGGGCGGATCACCTGAGGGAGTTCGAGACCAGCCTGGCCTATGTGATGAAACCTCGTCTCTACTAAAAATACAAAAAGTAGCCAGGCATGGTGGCAGGAATCTATTATCCCATCTATTTGGGAGGCTGAGGCAGGAGAATCGCTTGAACCAAGGAGGTGGAGGTTGCAGTGAGCCAAGATTAAGCCATTGCACTCCAGCCTGGGCGACAAGAAAGTAAGACTCTGTCACAAAAAAAATAAATAAATAAACCATAGTAATAATAATAAACAACAGAACAAGTAAAAAAAGTAAAAGCAGAAAGGAAGAAAGTAAAAGGTAAGAGAGCAGAACTTGCAAGGAATGATATGCAGGGCAGTGAATGATAAAACAGCGTACTGGTGGATCAGGAAGTAGACTGCAACTCTAGCCCTACATGAGAATCATGAGAGGAGCTTAAAATAGCTCCTCTGAGCACCGTTAAAAAAACAGAAAACCACACATCTCTGGCCTAGGAATCTGTAGTTTATAAAAGCTCCCCAGGGGATTCTCACACTCCTTGTATTAAGAACCACTGCCACTCCTCCCCTTTCCTAGAAAGAGTAAAAACACTTGCTGACGCAAACTTACCACTTGAGAATAACTGTTTCACATGCTCACAGGTGTATGAGTTGTCAATACCAGTTATCAATTTTAGACATAAAAGCCTGAACAAAACTGAATGACTTCAAAATGAAAAGTTAAAGCAATGACTTCAAACACCTTCACCTACAGAGACACCAACAGGAGTAGGCGTGGCACTGCACAGGTGCTCTGAAACATGGTATCAGATAAGAAACGGGCTGGGACTACAAACTACATGCACAGGATGCATAATCAACTGCATCCCATTTTAACCAATTGCTAATGCACTGGTGACTAGCAAGGCTATGTACATGTAAAGTATTTTCCCAGAACAAGTTCTCAATTTTAACTTAACCTCGTACATAAGGTGCTCCTTCAGATGTAATGAATTCATATTTGCAAAGAACCCTAGGTGCACCCTGAAGTTCAGGTTCATTAAATCATTCCTTATATGTTGGAGGAAATATGGGAAGGTCAGAGTCAATCAGTATTATTCTTCTTTTTTTTTTTTTTTTCTGAGACGGCGTCTCTGTCACCTAGGCTGGAGTGCAGTGGCACAACCTTGGCTAACTGCAACCTCCGCCTCCCAGGTTCAAGTGAATCTTCTATCTCAGCCTCCTGAGTAGCTGGGACTACAGGCACGTGCCACCACGCCCAGCTAATTTTTTGTAGTTTTAGTAGAGATGGGGTTTCACCATGTTGGCCAGGCTGATCTCGAACCCCTGACCTCAACTGATCCGCCCACCTCAGCCTCCCAAAGTGCTGAGGTTACAGGTGTGAGCCACCGTGCCCAGCCCCATTCTCACTTGTCATGTCTTGTGCATGATCCATTGTACTTGCCAAGAAATTGCCTTTATGTGACTCCTGAAAGACCCAGTTAAGACTATTTATTCTTTCTCATTTTTAGATGTTATGCCGTCTTATCTGTTTTAAAATGCACATTTTGCACAATAGTACTTTCCACAGCTCCTGAGATCCTTACCATCGGCTTCTTCTACTTCAAAGTATCTGTAGTTGAAATGGATAGTAGGAGCATGAGGATTCTTGGGGTGGATAACAGAGCTCACACCCATAGCACAAAATGGCAATTTACCTGGAAAGCAAAATACAAGTAGTGAGCTATATTCAGTTACCCTGAATGACTTGAAACAATCTAACTCTAATATGACTTCTAAGTCAATTTTCAAAAGCTGCTTCTTAATTTGTCTCTTAAAAACATAATTTTTAAAAAGGAATTGTTGACATGTGGCATATGAACACAAATGGCTTTTTTCAGAAGCAATATTTATTTTATAAATAAAACTTGTGGGCAAAATAAGGTTTGCAGGAACTAGTAAAGACTATCAAGATTGTCTGATTTACCATCTTTAGTCTTCAGAACTTTTCCTCTGCTTCTCATTTGTTTTGCTGCTTCCTCAGAAAGATTTCCATGAACAACAGAAATGCTCACCCCAGCCTTTTCGAAAACGCGCCCATCTTGAAGTACACAGCTGATGCCGCCACCTCCTGTGTATAGAAATGTAAAATAAGGAGAGAATGTAAGAGTATGTTCAAATCTGAAAGCAACCCTTGCATGAAGATGGTTATTTTCCTCCTGTTTCCCAATCTTTTATACCAGTGTATTTATTATTTTATGTACAATAAAATTAGATAACTAGCTTAGCTTTATGACATACGCTATTAATACTGGGCACATACTGGACCTTCTCATATCACTAAACTTAGTATTTCTCCAACATTCTCCTGTCATCAACTAAAATCAATCCCTGGAATATTCTCCCTTCAAATACTACTGTTCAGAACAGCAACCCAGCAGTTATGATATATGAGAGAAAGCTAACTAAGGTAAAAAATAGGAATGGGTAGACTTGAAGGGTGTTCTATTATCACTGAATTTAAGAGATCAATATTGTTTCAAAAATTTCTTTCTCAGTGTGCTGCTTGCCTTTTAATTTGATTTACAGGCAACTAAGAAACAGTTGATATTCAAACTCTGAAAGAATTCAGAACCTTAAAATGAGTGAGACACACATTAGTATTCAGGTGTATGAGCCTTACTACTCATTTTTTTCTTAAGGTACTAACTAGGGTCACTACAAGGGCATTGTTTCATCAAATTTCATGTTTGGATTGTTTTATTTCTAAGAACATTTAGAGCTGGATAGGACATAAGATGATCCTGTACAACCCTCATATATTCCCAATGAGAAAACTGAGGACCAGAGAGGCAAAATATCTTATCCTAGATCTAACCGCTGACAAGTGGCTGAAACAATGTGTCTAAATGCTGTCTGTTTCAGACAATATTCTAAGCACTTCACATATATTCTATCCATATACATGTGTAGCATGAGGATTAAATGAGATGAAACATACATATGTATATTTCATAGATGGGAAAAAAAAGAGTAACCTCTAAGGGTCACACAGCTAGTCTAGTACTTGAGGTTGTGTCCTGGTTCAGTGGTCTTTGCTTGAAAACATTACAAGACAGAAAACTAGACTCAACTTCATTCCATATAGATGTGGTAGTATCACAGATCAAAATCTGCTGGTGAGAAGTTGCTGTTGTATTTCCAGCTAGGAAAAGTCAGGAATCCTTCAAGTTTCCACTCAAGATGTCGGTTTCACTGTATGGGCAACAACATGTCATGAACGTATATGCCTCTATGAGAGCTGGATTTTGATGCTCAAGTGTTTTGCCATTGAAAGGGAAGATTTTCCCAGCAGGAAACCTGATGGGTGCATTTGGTAGCGCTACTGAGAAGCCAATCAAATATATCTTGTGCAATAGTAAAAGTGGGAAGAGCCTGACACAATGACACCCTAGCTGGAGGAGTTTGGCTGACACTTAGCGAGGAGATGAGTTCTTTCCAACTCCTAAAAAGGAAAAAGGGCAAATTCACCCAGAGAAGGAGATGAAATGTGTTTCATAATCTATTGAAATTTATGTTCAATAGCAAACTTTGGACATCTAAGCTTGTTAGTTGCAAACACCACTTAACATTTCTACAAAAAATGCTGCTATGGAATTGCAAAGATTTTGAAATGCAGTACTCGAGTGACAGCTGATCCGTCTCCATACCTGCAAGCAGAGGGCTGGCGACCCTTTCGGCGTCCCTCTTTTTAACGGCAGCCTCTAACCAAGCAGCCTCTCTGTGGGTACCCCATCCCGTACTGTGAACTATTATGTTTTCTGTCTGCAACCTGGAACCTGACCTTTTTTCCCCTCGTCTCCACCTTCCGCTAGTGGCCGGCTTCCTTACCTTCCTTCCTCTCCCACCGGTCCACAGAAAAGCTGGCGCCCCCGTCTACCTGTGCCAGAGCCTGGCACACCTGCGCCTGGGTCTCCAGGATCAGCAGCTCCATCTTGGTCTTCATGTCGGCCGGCCTCCTTCGCAGCTCGCCCAGGTCGGTCACAGGCGCGGCCATGAAGCAGCTGCAGCGGCGGGCCAGCTCATCCTCCTCCTCCGGCCTCCCCAGCGAGGGTTCCCGCGTCCCCGAGCTCTTGGGCACCATCTCCGCCCGCTGCACATGCCCGAGGGCGGCGGCGGCCAGCCCCACCACCCCCGCCAGCGCCGCGGCCAGCCCTGTCCCCCGCCAGGTGCCGCCTCTCGCCGTCGGGACGTGCCCCAGCCCGCGGCTCTGCTCCGTGCCAGCCGGGCCAGGGGGGCGGCAGATGCGTCCGGCTGCGCTGCGCGGGGACCCGGCGCAGAGCCCTCCACAGCCGCGGTGAGGCCAGGCGCGGAGCCCCCCGCAGCCGCCCCGCGCCGCACGCCAGCAGGGGCCCGCGCTCAGCCTGCCCAGCTGCAAGGCCATGCTCCCACGCGGTCACCCCGGTCAGTGCCTGGGTCCGACTCGGGCCGCAGAGCCCCCGAGAGTCCGAGCCCGCGAGCCGCGCAGGCAGAAAACCTCTCTGGGAGGGCCGCCGCGGCGTCGGGCTCCAGCGGCGCGGGCGAAGCGGGGCATGCTGGGAGATGTAGTCCCGCGCCTGTCGCCGCCTGCAGCGTCCCCGCGGGGGCGGGAGACGAGAATCCCGAGCGCCCGGAAGCGCCGGTCTGAGGCGAGGAGAGCGGGGCGGGGACGTGCTGTGGAAGCGGCTGGAGAGACAAGAGCGGCTTTCTGGTCACGTACGACCTTCGGGGCGGCTGTCTTTCGGCCTTGGGGAGAAGATGGAGTCGGGCTGGGAGGCTGAGGGCGGACCGGGGCAGACGTGGCAGAGACTGTAGTCGCGCTTCCGTTTTCAAACAGCGTTTGCAGAATACAGACCCCGGCCCAGGAGGTGCAAACCCGCCTTTCGCCCTGGTCCTGGTCCGTTAGTTTCTAGGGCTTGAGGGCGCGGGGCGAGCGGGCTGCGAAACGTCTGCTAAGGATGATTTTGTAAAGACAGTAGGAGAAGCTAGTCATGGGCTGGGAGGAGCATCCGGAGCAGACTCTGTGATGCAGTCCACACCACCGTTGCGTCCTTAAGATGGCCCCAGGCGTTGCTTCCGTGGTGCCTACTTGTTTAGAAAGAGGAAAGGCAAAGTGTTTCCCTTAACCAGTAGAAAATTCCTGCCTTGGTGCGTTTTGGTGATTAACAAATAAGAATTTTAAACATAGTTATTCTACTGTAGGGTGCTCTCAAATATTGCTCACGTTTAATGCTTACAACAACGGCCGCAAACTAGGCAGGGCAAACGTCCGCGCTTCCTCCCACTGTGTCCCTTCCCCCACGCTTTACAGAAACGAGGGAAGAAGCTAAGAGATTTGGCAGGCAGCTCTTCGTGCCCGCCGTAACCACACCACAGCTTCATGGTTCCTGGGCGCGAAAGTGTGAGAACTACTGTCATGGGCTAATTTGTCCCACAAGTCTCCACGGTGATTTTAATTTCTAGTAGTAGATGATAATTTAAGCCACTGGTAGCTGTTGCCACAAGTTTTTTCTTAGTGGCAGCATGCACTGATGGAATCTCAATGGCTTTTGAGTCAGACCAGTTGGTATCTTATCCACCCACAACTGCACCTGGCAATTCTCCCACTGGGACATGATGTTAGCAAGGTGGGTGCGCTTGCCCAAGCCTCACCACCGAGAATCAATGGAAAGTAAAGGCTTGGGTTGAGAAGTGACTAAGCTACTTTTAGGGAAGAAAAACAGTTAGCTTTTAGCCATAGCACAACCTGCCAGGAGGCCAAGTTAGAAGCGGAGGCAAGGAAATAAGAATGATCATTGTAGGAAGGGTTGATGCCCTCTTCTGGATGCCTGTGATTGGGGTTGGGCTGGGCCTGGTGATGAAAAATGAACCTCATCAAATGAAAAGGAGCCTCTCTGCGCTGTTTATTTGTAAGAAACCCCTTGATTATTGCTCTAATTCTGCAAATACCCATAAGGTTAGTAAAAGCTAAGTAAGAACAGACTGTTTTGAACATTCGCCCAGTCACAAAGGCTGATGCTCACCAAATTGTGTACTAGCTTCCAGGTTTCCATCCCTCTCATCCTTCGCCTTTCTATGCAAAGGGCCTCTCTCCGTTCTTCCTCTGGTTCCCAACACCCTCCCTACAGGCAACCTGTTATTTAATGCATAAGAAAAGCTTCAATAGCTTGGTTAGTGTGAGTTTAAATCACCTTTCTGGGGGTTCAAATTGTTCCCAAGTGGGATACTTGTATTTCAGTCATATTTGTCAGTGTGGAGAAAAAAAAAAAGATATCACCGATCTAAGTAATTTCTTACATCAGAAAACTAGTTGGGACAAATAAAAAGTTTCTAATTAGTTGTAGAAAGTAAGGTGTAAATTAGAAATTCTCATCCATTTTTTTAGCTTCGTTTCTTGCATCGCTTTGCAACTTTTTTATGTGATCCTATCACAAAAGTGATTCTGACTAGCCTTATAGGTATTAGTATTAAATATTATTTTTCAAAATCCACGTTTCTCAGAATCTTTATGAACTTTTCCTTCTACAGCCCTGTTGAACATAACTTATTTTAGGCCTGCTGGTGCATATTCGAGAGAGTTCTAATTTTTTTTTTTTTTTTTTTTTTTTTGAGAAGGAGTTTCACTCATGTTACCCAGGCTGGAGTGCAATGGCGCGATCTCGGCTCACCGCAACCTCCGCCTCCTGGGTTCAGGCAATTCTCCTGCCTCAGCCTCCTGAGTAGCTGGGATTACAGGCATGCACCACCATGCCCAGCTCATTTTTTGTATTTTTAGTAGAGACGGGGTTTCACCATGTTGACCAGGATGGTCTCGATCTCTTGACCTCGTGATCCACCCGCCTCGGCCTCCCAAAGTGCTGGGATTACAGGCTTGAGCCACCGCACCCGGCCTGAGAGTTCTAATGTTAATCCCTCTGGTAGCTTTACTGCCTTCTAACAACACACACACACACACACACACACACACACACACACACACACACACACACACCCGCATTCTCACTATTTTTACTAAACTATACTATTTTCAACAATTATCAAATTCTGAAAGCCAAAGTTAAGAAATGTGTTGCTAAATTCACTTAGTTCTGTTGCTTTCAGATAGATATAGAAACTCAGGCTATTAGTAACAAAATATTACGGAAAATCTGTGTTTACCTTGGCATGCTTCTGCCCAACTCATCAGAAATTTTGGTGGGGTGATGGGAGGAATGGTAAGATGAGAACGGAAGTCGAATTTTTAAAATGTTAACTCATTTTTTTTGTCCTAGAACTTGTATTTTAAACTTTTAGGTCTATAGTAGCAAATGCTTACATAGATCATTAAAACAATTGGTTCTTAAAGCTGTATATAGTCTAAATATCCAATACAATTTAGTGTTGTTGACCTGCTTTTTCCTTAACTGGTGTAATTTTAAAATTATTTTTTCACAAATGTATAGATAACATTTCAGGGAGATTTTATGTAAGGGACCAACTCATGTTACCTATCCTTTCAGTCCCCTTAGCTTCTCCCTAATTCTTCCCTGTAGTAATATTGATTGTAATGTCTGGAATTGCAGCAACCATTTTGTGACTAAGACACTGAAAGTTCCATGTCAAAGTTTGTGGAGCAGTTAGATAGAAGGAGTCTGAGTCCTGATAACATCCTTGATCAGATACACCAGCCCTGGGCTGCTTACCTTTGAGCTTCTTGTTATATGAGAAAAAATAATTTAAGAAAGTGTTTGTCAGGTGTTTTGTTGCCGCTTACATCTTTCTGATATAGACCTTTTCTCACTGTGGTTCAAATATCTACCCTGGGACCAACCAATAAAAAAAAGCCATGAGTGAAAAAAAATGGCATCATCTAAGAACATGAGCTCTCCCATTAGTGTTTTGTGGAACGGAAGTTGGTGAGTATGTGGAATATCATTTCTCGAAAAAGAGAAATGTGATGAACAGAAAGTACTGTAAATCATCAATGCCCACAATAGGGACAAGCTTTTGAATGTGTTTCTAGGGTTTTGAGCCTGCATATCTAAGATTAACAAAAATAGGGAATTTAGAAAGAAGAACTAGCAAGTACAGAGCAGAAGTTTATTGGGAGAACAGGAAATAATCAGTTCGATAGAGACAATTATTAATAGAGATATTCCCACCAGTTGAGCTAAAGCTCTCTGACTGTTCCATTTGCCAGGGTATAGGAGCTTCCTGGCCACTCCATCCCTTCCGTATAAAAATGTTCTTACCATCCATTCTCAGAGTCTTAAAAATGTTATGGACCAACCAAAAGGGTGGGTCATCTGAGAAGATGCTGAGGACAAAGTGTTGGAATATATATATAGGTATTCCTCTTGTGAGGCAATCAAAGAACAATGGGTATTGGGTACCTGTCAAGTAGTCCTCATCAGACAGAATAGAAAAGATATTTAATATTGTCCCTGTACCTGCCTCCATGATGCTTTCAGGGCACTTGCAACCAGTAGTACTTGCTCAAGAAACATGAAGCTACATCTACTTGTGTCATTGAGAGTTCGTCTCCTCTGGTGGACTGGAATACTCTCTTGAAAAATACATATTTAAGACCTTTTACTTTAGACCCATATCAATATCCATTTAAACTTGAGAGTCAAAAATCAATTCTCTTTGTTCTCTGCATCTATCTAGAGTGATCTTTTCTCCCACGTTTAACTCTTCAGCCTGGGTCAGGACCTGGTTCTAGAATTAATGTGGTTGAATGAATGCAGGAGGAGGGAAAAACGCATTTGAAATACTCTCTTACTACAGACATGTTGAACTTTTATATTAGTATGTAAAAATGGAAATGTGAGGCCAGAAAGGATGAGGGCTGGAAAGATACATTTTTGAGATACCCACAGTGCTGGGACGATGAGCTCATCCAGAAGAATTCTTAAAACAAAAAGATAAAGGGCTCAATGTCAGAACATGGTACGACAGACACATTTAGGGACAAAAAGCAAGAAGTCATGGGACCTTGAGTGTGATGTCACAGAAACATGGAGGGAGACAGCATCAAAGAGGAGAATGTAGTCAGCAGGCAGAAAGCTTTACACTCTGATCAACCGGAAAACAAAAGTACTGAGTAGAGGCTAGGGAATATTATGAAGTCATTGGCTGTTTTTGAAACAAGAGCTTTGGAAAACCAGTTGAGGTGGCAGCTGAAATGAAAGAACATATAGTAGCTCAGGGTGGGAAGTTGTAATGTTGATCTTTTATTTGGAGTGAAAGACTAGAGCATGGTTCTGTTTGTTTTTGCTGAAGGAAGTGGGGAAACAGAGAGAACTAAAAATACAAGACTATACACCACTCAGAGACCTCATGGCCAGTCTAAAGGTTTTATTTTCTTCTCTTCCCAAATTGCACCATTCAGGCTGCATTCAGGGAGTATAAAGGTCAATGGGAATGGAAAAGAGGATTGAGCAAAGAAATAGCCATTTGAGGTTCCAATATACATAACCTTCAAAGGACCTGGACTGCTTTCTCCAAATAGTTGTCCTCACCTTCATTCTAACCAGTCCTTAGGCAGCCTTCCTGTGTAAAACAGGAACTCAACTATAATTGAAGGGTTATGAGACCTCTGTAGGGTAACTACCCTGAGTCAAACTGAGTCCTGAATCATTTATTCTTTCTATAGACATTTACTTAGCACCTTCTATGTGCTATGTTCAAATCAAGCACCTCGCTACCCACAAGGTAGCGAGGACCACTGTTGTCACTCCTCACAGGATAGGTTAGGAAACTGAAGCTTACATGGGTGTAGAGATAGACCAAGTCTGGACCTTGTCTCTAAGGCTCTATTAACATTATAACACTGCTCTTCATCTGACCCTAATATAATGTTAATAATATTTACTAAACAGCTGCACCTTACTAGGAACTTCAGAACACACAGAGGAGCTGCCAGCCTTTCCCATCCTCCTAGGAAAAATGGATTCCACTTGAGCCACCAAATAATCTCTTCAAATGATCTATTACATAGGCAATACTCATTTTGGATGGTCCTATGGGACCATGACAGTGACCTTGGAAGCAGAAGCCAGACATATCATTCTTACTAATCAATAGGAAATTATGATTGTTATGTGATCGTATGTATGTATATATACATATATATGTATACATATATATATGCGTGTGTGTGTGCATATATATATATATATATATATGTACAAATACCTTTTGAGACACAGTCTCCTGTTACCCAGGCTGGAGTGAAATGGCACAATCTTAGCTCACTGCAACCTCCGCCTCCTGGGTTCAAGTGATTCTCCTGTCTCAGCTTCCCAAGTTATTGGGATTACAGGTGCATGCTGCCATGCCCGGCTAATTTTTTGTATTTTAGTAGAGACGGAGTTTCACCGTTTTGCCCAGGCTGGTCTCAAACTCCAGAACTTAGGCAATCCACCCACCTTGGCCTCCCAAAGTGCTGAGATTACAGGCATCAACCATCATCTCCAGTCGTGATCTTTAATATTTTTAATAGAAACATTAAAAACTCAGTTACTGTAGGTTGTAGATGAAAAATGGAAAAACTAATTGTGTTGGTACATTGCAATTTAACACATTAGAAACATTGAGAATTCATGTGTTTTATTTCTTCACACTTCTACAGAATAGTTTGAACAGGCTTCCCTTCTTTTTCTTATTGTATAACTAAAGATACGAAGCAAGCGTCTTTTCTATGCCTTGGTGAATTGTCAGACTTTCTAAGTCTGGATCAGCTTTCAACATTTGATCCTCTGTGCTTTCAGTGTTGTGAAATATTCCAATAGTTTCTTTAATGTGAAATGGGTTTTTTGTTTGTTTTTTCCAGCAGCACTTCCTCTGAAATATCTTCATCCAACACAAGCACTTTCTTCACATATGTCAGAAAGTTTGCCTTCACTAACTTCCTGTGTTGGTTAATTTTATGGATCAAATGTGCTGGGCTACAGTGGCCAGATATTTGGTCAAACATTATTCCGGATATTTTTGTGAGGGTGGTTTTTAGATGAAATTAACAGTTAAGTTAGTAGACTTTTAAGTAAAGCAGATTGTCCTCCAAAATGTAAGTGGGCCTCATCCAGTCAGTTGAAGGTCTGAATGGAACAATAGACTGATTTCCCCTGAACAAGAAGGAATTTTGCCAATTCTGCCATCAGATGGCCTTCAGACTTGAACAGCTACATCAATTATTCCCTGGATCTCCAGCCTGCTGGCCCACCCTGCAGATTGTGGACTTTTCAGCCTCCACAGTCCTTAAAATCAATCAACCACTTCCTCTCTCTTTCCATATATGTAAACATATACACATTCTATTATTTCTGTTTCTCTGGAGAACCTTGACTAATCTAGTTCTTCTGGGTGAACATCTGAGTGTCTCAAAAGGCCACAATGTCAACATTCCCTTGGTCAGCTATTTTTTCTGTAATTCCATTTATGTTCAACTAGAATTTAACTTCCAGTTTTGTTGCTTTCTGTTTCTTTGCTGCACTTTCATCTTTCTTGACCAGTTCCCTCTTTCAATGATCCATTTTTGTAAAATGTCACATGTATTTATCATGGGGCAACAAGGAAACAACATGGCTACACACTTTGCATAAACTGCATAAACTGAAGAACAAATTAGCACTGACCAATCACAAACAGACTTTGAAAAAAGTAGGATGATTGGTCTTGAACACGATGCATATATATTATTTATGTAGTGATTTGTAGACTGAAGAGCTAGCACCAGGTTTGTACTTTACACAATTACCCATAGTTATCAATGTGGTAACTGAAATTTGAACTCTGTTGTTCGGAAGCTGGTGAAGTTTAACCATATCATGATCATGATCATGAAATGAAATTTATGCCTCTTAGAACCATGCAATGCCAAGACTGCCTACACTTACTTTTGAACTGATTGTCTAAGTTCATAATAAAGAAGTCTCTACCTACCATGAAGGACCATGAAGCAAAGAAAACAAGGTTCTTAACAGAATCAGCAGCATCTCTATAAAAATTCTATTATTTTATTAACTTGAATTCTTAAAATGCTAGACTTATTTTTTGCCTATTTTCTGTGAATAATTGACGCCTGTAGAATCACGTAAAAAGATACAAACATAAGTAGTTTGTGGCAGAGACAGCTAGTTGTCCAACAGAAATCAATTTTTCTCTTCTTTAATAATCATATTCCAGGTTTTAGTGGCGCTCATGAAATGCTTCCACTATCCTCCTATCCTCTCTTGAAGCTTATGATCAAATTCTGGCCAGTAGGATGTGAACAAAACTATTGTGTGTCACTTCTGAGTTTATTCTTCAGAGGAACAAATGTGCTTCCTCTGGCCTTTTTGCTACCGGCTAGGATACAGCAGTGAAGGCAAGAAGTGGAACAGCCACTTTGAACCCAGAAATGAAATCTGTGTGTTAAATAAGGATGACAGAGCAGCGTTATACATCTTGGACTATGTCTCTAGAAAGTTATATCAGAGACAATGAACTTCACTTTTGTTTTAGCCACTGAATTTTGAGATCTTTTGTTATAAACACTTTAACCTAATAAACGCAGGCATATATTCCTTTTTGAGAATAACCAGTAGCTTAACGTACTCACATAGGAAGTTTATGCACATTACACTAAATAGTGAATGGATTGTCTATATTCTAACTTTCATTTAAAGATGACAGGAAGAAAGGCTGAGGGCCCAAGTGTAATGGCATCCCCTTCTCAAGGAATAAACTGAGCAGGAGCCACTGAAGACAATTAATGGTCTAAGGCAACCAACATAGACAGGATGGATAAAACCTGCTTGTTGCAGAGTGGATGTGATGTTTTCCATTTAGCATTTATTGTGCCCTAAGGCTGTGAACTTTCATTCTTAACAACCAGCTGTATTGGGAAGGGGGACCTCCAATATTTAAATTGAATTTCCAGGAGCTGCTGGGGTCTAACGGGAGAGAGTTACTTGGCAATACCGTATTTATAGAATTTGTGTCAAAAATAAATATCAGGTGGTACGAATCAGTTTAGTCATTGACATGAATATAATTTATCCAGCTACAACTACTGAAATATGTGCATCATGAAATTTGTCTCTTTTTTATGGAGCACATTAAAAAGGATCTGATACATCAACAAATGTTTGACGCTCATATGTGTACACTAGAGGGCACTCACTTTCTATTAATTCGCAAACCAGTATCTAGAAGCATCACCTTGGGATCTTGTTAAAAATGCATGTTTTGAGGTTGTAGAGGAGCCCGTAAACCTGCTTTTTAACGGGATGCTCTCTAAGAGCATAGTAAAGAGAATGGCTCATGGAGTCTCACAGCCAGGGTTTGAAAACTGACTTTGCCGTTTGTGAACTTGGGCAATTATGTACCTCCCTGTGCCTGGATTTCCTCATCCATTGAATGAAGTTAGAAATAACACCTGCCTCTTAGGGTAGTTGTGATGATTGGATCAGTCAACTTAGAACACAACCTAGTGCATGTCAATATATGCTAGCTCTATTATTATAAGTATTATTTTTAATAATCATATTCATTGATTGTATAGCAGGGTACCTGAAAACCACTCTTGAGAAATACAGAACTATTTTAAAAATTTAAAAAGGGGCCAGCAAGGTGGTTCACCCTGTAATCCTAGCACTTTCAGAGGCCAAGGTAAGAGGTTTGCTTGAGGCCTGGAGTTCGAGACCCACCTGGGCAACATAGCGAGACCCACCTGGGCAACATAGCAAGACCTCATCTCTACTAAAAATTAAATAAATAAATTAGTCGGATGTGGTGGTGTGTGCCTGTAGTCCCAGCTTCAGGAGGCTGAAACAGGAGGATCGTTTGTGTCCAGGAGTTCAAGGCTGCAGTGAGCTGTGATTGTTCCACTGCACTCCCGCCTGAGTGACAGAGTGAGACTTTTATCTCAGTCAATCAATCAATCAATCAAGAAGGATCCTCTTAAAAGTGAGTACCCAGTCAGGCCAAAACCTCATGTTCTGACTCAGCTAGAGTGATAATGAAATGGCAGGAACAACAATTGCAGCATGGAGAATGGAGCAAAATGAGGCTGGTCCTCATATACTTTGTGAAGGAGCTTGTACATTATTCATAAGTTCATAGAAATCCCTTAAAAGGCATTGAAGCAGAAGATGGTATGATGAGGTTTATGTCTGAGATAGATTATTCTGAAAGTGAAATTTGGGGTTGGAGGCAAGGGAGGAGCCTGGAGGCAGTATATCGGGGAGCTCAGGTTGATGTAATGCTGCTTCTTTTCCAACCAAGAAAGGATCTCCAGAGAACATCAGGATTATCCACATCAGTGACTCACAACGATTTGAACATTATAAATCCTTCCTTCTTTGGAGCTTAAACTGGAACTCAAGCTTGTAATAAAATACTCTACCTCAACCACACCCCCTCATTTATACACACATGTAGTACAGAGTACCTGGCAGCCATCCTCCCTAGGTTTTGAGCAGCAGACTGCAAGGAGAACTGTGAACTCTGCAGTCACCAAAGAAAAACTGGACTGTTCTCTGTAGCACCAGCAGCTGAGAAGGGGGTACATCCAGCATCTCACCTGGTGATCCTGTAGATTTTGAGGTAGATTTTTAGGAACTGGCAGCTTTAAAGTGCTTGACCTAACAAATACTGAAATAAACTTCAGTTCTGCTTATCATGCCCCTAGCTGGAATGGGAAGAGCTGCCACAGGGGTGGGAGAGGCCAGAGGAAGAGAGGTGACCTAGGGTGCTGCTCTCCTTGACTCTCTACCTAGAATCCTGATGCCATCCTGACACCATTAAATTATCAGTGCCAGGGAAAGCAACTATATGAGTATTTTCTCCAGTACCTGAGGAGTGGGTATGAATGATTTCATGAGAAAGGAATTCATTCCTGGGGGCCCCTCTGCCAGGAGCAGTTCCTACTTGTGTACTCAGTCAAGTCTTATGTATCACCTACATTTCTAATCTTTCAGCTAAAAACATACAAAATAAAAATAACGAAACAGCTCTTCCTTCTGTTAAAGTTTTTGAGATTGCAGAACCACGGGATATTGTCTTAAGACTGTTTAGAGGTAGAAGGAACCTACTCCAGTGGTTCTCAGACTTGATTTAGTATGAGATCTCTTTAAACAAAATCTTATGGAGAAGTCCAATTCCTATGTGAACAGAAAGCAGAGCTGCTTTTGTTGTAGGGGTGTCCTGGCTGGACAATGATTCTCCTGTTTGTCAGCTTCGAACACAGGATTAGTGAATCACTTTTTTGAACCCCTAGCATGAAGAAGAGCTAAGTCTGAAAGTCATGATTAAATGAATTCCTCCATTTTACAGAGGACAAAAATGAGCCCAAGAGGGTTAACAATTATTTTAGTAGAGTGGAAGACCCATAAGGTGGGTACATAGACATAAGCTGAAGATCACTTTTTCAAATTAATGGTAGAGAATAGAGACTGGAAAGGATTTTTTAAGAGTTTCTTTGGCATTGGATCAATGAGTCAGGAAAAACAAAACAAATTAGAGCATGTAAGGGATGAGAAGAAGGTTTAATTTAGATCCAGAGAAGGATTTCCAATAGAAATGGATACAAAACTTTGTAACTTGGAAGTCTCTGGCCTGGGCTCTGTTCAATGTACCAAAGTTGCTTATCTGTCTAGAGAGAATGAAACCCAGCTTTAATTACAAACCCATATTCAGGTGGAGACTGTCAGCCAGCCACTGGCATTATCAAACGTCCATTAACATCTTTACAAGTTAGACACAAAGGCATTTTTTCCTTCTGGACAGAGTTTTTGCAGATCCATAGTTTACACAGACAACAACATGGTGATTTTCTGATGACTCGTGGGAGGAACACTACCAGTTCCAAACTTTCCCTCTTTCCTCTCTGTGTTGACAATTAAACTCAAAACTTACCTGGTCCAGGAAATGTCTACCCACCTGATTCTACTTGCCATTGCAGCAACTTTTATTCTTAATTTACTTTGTTGAACCTCTGTTCCTCACCTGTAACATAAGAATAAGAAAATTTCTTACTGTTTTTGTATGAGAAAAAGGGAACAAGGTATGTTAGCTGTTTTAGCACAGCGCCTGACACTTAAAACTTGGTTTCTCGTCTGATGTGAATCTCTGATAGACTTAGTAATTTGACTCAGTCAAATATTCTATAAAAATAAGAAATTTTCTTAATATTTCTATCTTATAGGTGAGAAACAGAGGTTCAGCAAAGTAGATTAAGAATAAAAGTTGCTATAGTGGCAGGTGGAGTCAGGTGGGTAGACATTTCCTGACCTTGTAAGTTTTGAGTTTAATTTTCAACACAGAGGGTGAACAGAAAAAGTTTGGAACTGGGTAATGTTCTTCCCATGAATCATCAGAAAATCACCACGTTGTTGTCTGTCTAAACTATGATCTGCAAAGAATTTGAAATAGATCAAATTTCTCTTTATCTTTTAGATAAAATTTCTTTTAGAATCCACTCTAATTACTAGGGCCCTGTTACTTTTTGTTTCATCTGTTCCCCCTTTTGTGTCTTTTATTCTGGAATAATAATAAAGTTAACTGATGATGTTAAGAAAGTGGAGACTAAAGTTGATACCCATATTTAACGCTGTAGTTTACCTTTAGTTTCAAAGTTTTTAGAATTTCTTTTCTTATTTATTTATTTTTGAAAGAAGGTCTTACTCTGTCACCTAGGCTTTAGTGCAGTGGGGGCAATCTGGGCTCACTGCAACCTCCACCTCCTGGGTTCAAGTGATTCTTCTGCCTCAGCCCCCCGGGTAGCTGGGACAACAGAAGCCCACCACCATGCTAGGCTAATTTTGTATTTTTAGTAGAGATGGGGGTTTCTCCATGTTGTCCAGGGGGTCTCAAACTCCTAACCTCAGGAGTTCACCAGCCTTGGCCTCCCAAAGTGTTGGGATTACAGGCATGAGCCATGGTGCTCAGCCAGCATTCTCATTTCTAACGCTTTTTTCATCTTTAGGTGGTTAGAAAACATCTTTTAGCTATGGTTAATAAGTTCTATAGCTTTGACCAAGGGTAAGTATCTCTGAAGATAAACATATGGTCAATCCAGATGAGCTAAAATTTACCGATGTTATTCAAGTGGAAATTTTAGAACTGAAAAATTTAGTATCTGAAATAAAGTCTGAAGATCCATTTACCAACAGATTCAAGATTTCAGAAGAAATCTGGAGATTGAGGTTCTTGAGATTGAGGACAAATCAATAAAATTTATTCAATCTAAATAATAGAGAAGAAACAATGATTGAGATAAGAATAGACAGAGCCTCAATGACATGTGGGACAATATTAAGAGATCTCTATATCTTTGTAGTTACAGAGAGAGAGAGAAAGAGAGCAAGAGAGAGAAAGGAGAGGAAATGGAGCAGAGAAAACATTTGGAAAGATAATGGCCCCAATTCCTCCAAATTTGGTGGAAAACATCAGTTTACAAATATAAGAAGCTCAGCAGAGAGAGATCCAAGATGGCTGATCACTAGCAGCTCAGGATTGTAGCTCCTAGTGAAAGCACAGAGAATGAGAGGACGCCACACTTTCAGACAAATTTTTGTTGCTCACGGACCAGGAGACTCCCAGCGGAGGAGCCCCACCGGTCGCCAGCGCAACTCTTGTGGCCGGTCCGGTGATTTTGCCAGCTCATCGGCGTGGCGGTTCCCGGTGCAGAGTAAACGGGACTGGGGCCCCTTTTGGTCAATGTTTGGAGCTCCAGGAAGGCAGAGTTGCCTATTCAGCTGAGTGAAAAAGGGACTCGAGGGAAACCAGACCGGAGATTCCCGGGCAGAAAAGCACCATGAATCTTAATGCCGCTGTTTTTGCCGGTGTGGTGGGTTGCTCAGATTCCAGCATTGGGAATCAGCAAGTTGGACGTCCACTCAGGGACCTAATTTGAAAGCTGGTAATTACAAAGACAACAGGTGGATAAATTTATAATGACGGGAAGAAACCAGCATAAAAAGCCTGAGAATACCCAAAATCAGAATGCCTCTCCCTCTACAGGGGATTGCAGTTCCTCATCAACAAGGGAACAAGGCCTGATGGAGAACGAGTGCGTTCCATTAACAGATTTAGGCTTCAGAAGGTGGATAATAAGAAACTTCTGTGAGTTAAAAGAACATGTTCTAGCCCAATGTAAAGAAACTAAGAAACTTGAAAAAAGGCTTGACAAAATCCTAACGAGAATAGACAATTTAGAGAGGAATATAATTGAATTAATGGAACTGAAGAATACAATATGAGAACACCACAAAGTATGCACAGGTTTTAACAGTCGAATTGATCAAGCAGAAGAAAGGATATCAGAGGTCGAAGACAAACTTAATGAAATGAAATGAGAAGAAAAGATTAGAGAAGAAAGAGTAAAAAGGAATGAGCAAAGTCTCCAACATATATGGGACTATGTGAAAAGACCTAATTTACATTTGATAGGTGTACCTGAATGTCATGAAGAGAATGAATCCAAGCTGGTAAATATTCTTCAGGATATTATTCAGGAAAACTTTCCTAATGTAGTAAGGCAGGACAATACTCAACTCCAGGTAATACAGAGAACACCACAAAGATATTCCTCAAGTAGAGCAA